GGAGGGCACATTCAGGTGACCCTGAGGACATTTCATTTTGGCCCGAAACGTTACCAGCCGCGTGATGAGAGACCACGTGTGGGGTTTGTTTCAGTCAGACTCTCGCGAAGTCAGTCTCGTGATTTCAGACTCTCACGATTTCGGTCAGACTCTCGCGAAGGGGTTTGTTCTCGGCTATAATTCGCTGGTATTCTGGATTGTTAGTGATAGGAACAGAGGGAGACTCGACGTTTGCTCGCCTTACCTCCAGGCCGATGTGGGTCGGCCTGGAGTCTTGGCTTTGTGGCTTCGGGAAGAGTGGGATCCGGCGTATTGTTGCCGCTTAAAAGAACATTTCTTCTGGGACCTTGACCGGGACCTGGACTGGGACCTCGACCAGGATCATGACCGGGACCGCGACTGAGAAATCGACTGTGACTTTGTCTGGGATGTTGTCGTGGTCCGTAATCTTGAGTGAACATTTGAGTGGGGCCTATCGCTGGCAGGTGGCAGACTGGGCCAGTCCATGTCCAGGTCTTCGGCGTCCGAGCTGAACCATCGGAGATGCTTCTTCGTCTTTGTCGCAGTGCGCTCTAGTGGCGAGTTCGGTGTCTGCTTGTTGGAAGTGTTGCAGTGAGTGTGGCGCAGAGGTTTGAACCTCTTCTTGCAAGTGCGATCTCCGGTGAGGTGATCATCTCCACAAGCTGCACACTTGGGCAAGCATTCGTGACTGGGAACAGGGTCTCGCATGCCCCAAATGCGGCACACTGGAGTGTGAGGTTGATGGCATACGTCAGATCTATGGCTAACGTAGTAACACACTTTGCACACTTGCGTGGTGTTTTTGTAGGGGTAGCAAGGGAGCTCCCCGCCGTGGTAATACACGCAGCGTGGCACACGTCCACCGTAAAAGGTGGACGTGTGCCACGCTTTGTGGTCTTCGTGTCGCCAAGCATCCGTGCATGTAGGACTTCCACGCCTTGTGTGCGCACCCGGAGATTTGCCTTGAGCTCATCGGATGGGGTGTGTGGCTGAAGTCCATGTATCACTCCTCGGGTGGCTATCTCGCCGGCCGCCACATAGGCCTTGACTGCATCCGGCCGTTCATTTGCCATCAAGCTAGCGATGCAACTGACTTTCTCAGCAGCCTCTTAGTGCGGCGTAGAGGCTATGAAGATGTTTGAGCCAGGCTTGATGAGAAGCAAAAATTTCTCACGTGTAATCAAGCCTTCGCATACGGCTATCACCGCGTCGGCGAGCATCGGGCTTATGAGACTTCTTACTGTAAGGCCCTGGTGCGGCCTCACTATGACCTTGAAATTATCCCTTCTAAGAGGTGAAAGTCTGCGATACTTCGGCTTCTTGCGTGGACGTTCGTGGGTCCACACTTCAGGGGGTTGCAGCTGGCTAGCATCGCCGCCTTGGTTCAACGTCTTTTGCTTGCTCTCGCGAGCCTGTGCCTTTCGCTGATGCAGTGTCAGCACTACCGTTCAGTCTCCATCCAGCTCCTGCTGCTTCGGACTGCCAGCGTCCGATGTATTCCACTCTCGCAAAGTCGCAAGATCATGCGCATCTGCCTCTCGAAGGTCCATCCCATTGATGTAGTCGCAGCCCGCGTCTAGAGCTGTCGGGGTGGAGGCAGCCATCGGTCGCTTGGGCCCCGTCGAGACGCTAGAGGAGCTGCTGCTGCCTTCTCGCCGTTATAGGCTTCACACTTAACATGGTAAGATCAGGGTCGTAGGGTCGAGAAAAAGCAGGTTCTCACCGACAAGAGTGGTACTTAAAGGTGTCGAAAAAGTTCATGATTTACGTCGCAGCCAAGAAAAGTCTGCCGCACACGGAAAACTGACCAAAACAACAGAAAGTTGTGGAGCTCAATATGAACGCGTCGGCACCCTTCGGTGCACCTAGCAGCGTTGTCGGCAAACATGAGGGGTGAAAGAATCGGGCACATAATCACATACATTTAGCAAACGTTCAGCAAGAAGCGCCCGTTAGAGAGAATTCAGAAAGGACTCAAGGTTAGATAGACTCTAATAGGGCTCGGATATTGAAGGTCAAATTCGAAAAACGCGATAACAAAATACGGACGAGGTACTAGACGGATAACAACTAGTCTAATAAAAAAATAAAAGAGTCGTAGGTAGATTATTATCCGCAGAAGATGGCACAAAAGTGCGCACTTAAAATGAATGTCTTGGTTGCGTTGAATAAAATGAATCAGCCCCTACAAAACAGGGTGACGAAATGGCCAGGACTTGCCTTCCGGCCATATGTAATGGCGAAATATACATTCCCATAGATCGGGACCCCAATGTTCACATTTTCTTATCATATATCCCGAGGACCCATGTGGCCACCACATAGGGGGAATTACAATTGAGGAGAAACTACTTTTCAATCACTACTTGAAAAATACTTGATAAAGTACAAACATCTAACCATCTAATAACGATTGATTTTACCCTTACTTCTACCCACATGCCACTTCAGGGTTGTGTCCAACAAAACTTATTGTCAAAAACATGAGACATAAAAATACGAAAACGCGAATAGCACAAGTTAGCATACAAAGAAAGCATGGTAATGCAATGTAGTGCGCCGGAAATCCTCATTTCATTTATTGCATCCTTAAAGGCCCGAGGGCATTACATAGGGGTATGCGGTGTGCAGAAATAAAGGTACTGAACTAAAATAAAGATATGGAAGCTACTCACTCTTACACTTCTAAATCCTACATTTTTAGTTAGCTCACAAATGTGTCACAATTGCGCATATTTACAACATAACTTGGTAATTGTGTTAATATTCTCACAAGTTATGCCCTACCTTGCGGAATATCAACTTTTGTTAACCATCGTACAATACTATGCGTAAAGCTCTTCACGGCGAATGGTCACCATTATTAAGACAAAGAATATTATCGCTTTTAGGCAAGCCTGCCTTACTGTGAGCTCAGAATCCGGGATTAATTTGTTTTAGAAAGACCTCACGAGGAGTGCATACGGAAACTCTTCAAATACACTCGTAGAGGGAAGGCTATTTGTGGACCAATGTGCAACAATTATCTACACGTAGGGTCAAAATGTCAAAATTTAAATTTGTGTGTTCATGTCAAAAACAAATAAAAGATGACGACTGGTGCTTTTCCAAGTGGTGAGAGATGCTATCATTAGCGGTGCAATGTCGTGGACATTCAGCAGCAGAAAGCTCATGTTCACCGGATGCGATCACGTGTGGCGTAAGCCTCGTGTACAGGGTAGATCTATGAATTTTATCCATGAGGATAGTTAATGAGAGTAGTCAATAAACATTCGATAATAGATTTCGAAGTCGATCCTACAAAATGGAACGATTTCGTTAAATCTGAAGGTTCCTCAAGTTAAAAGGGGAGTTATTCAAGTCTTCTGAGTGTTATATTGTAACGTAACGGCAACCAGAAGCTGCCGATGCGATCATGCTTTTAAGATACCCACTTCGGCGTACGTGATAACTGCGTGTGAGGGGCCGTCGCAAGGCGTCCCATGTCGCCCAAATACAAAGCGCTTTTAAAGTGTTCTTGCTACACCACTGTCCTTTACTGGTACTATCAACAATGAAGCCTGTTTATTCGTTTTTTTTTTCATTTCGCGCTTCTAAAAGGCGGAAATGAACGGAAGAAGCGCAGAAGAGCGGCGAGCTTTAGCCAAGATGGCAATGAATCATAGTCGCTCCATGACCAAGAACAGTGTCATTCTCGAAGTGGCATATTGATGGAGGGCAGTGTTTGGAAGACTTGCACCGCAACGTGCATGGTGGGCGCACCATTGATATGGTGCAACGACATTAGTCAACACTCGTTCAATCCTGCACATGCCACGTTCTTTCTACTACACCTATTGATTTAGTGATTTTTGTGCTTTTACGTGCAGAAGCCACAAGATCAACACGAGTGCACAGACTTTCTTGGTTTGTGTGGTTAAGAGGATAGGATTTGTATGCCTTGTTATGCACTCGGGAAGCAAATAATCATTCAAGTGTTGAAAATAAACTCAAAAGACCAACCAGTAGAGTTCCTCCTGAGGCGTTTAGTGACTACGAGATGACTGAAACTGGCTGCGCTATTTAGCTGTTAGGTGTACCACAGTGGGAAATACAGTACAAAAATAAAATACGCACAAAAGCACGCATGCCATATTTTAGAAATGTCGCAAAAAAGTCAAGCTCTACCGCAAAGGCAATGAAATGAACGCGATAGAAACAGATTGGAAGGTCACGTTTGAATTGCAAGCAGATCGAAACGTACCTTCCGTTTCTCACGCACAAATGACACGCGAAACATCTCGCAGGTACGCGAATAAGCGTCTCAGTTGTTACTTCATTGTGTATGAAAAGTACGATCTTTTCGCAGACGGAAGCTGTGCGACGATTGCAGGGACCTTTGTGCGCCCCTTAACTACAACATAATCGTTCCAGTGCAAGCCGAATGCCAGCCAAGATGTATGATCCTCCTCACCGGGACATAAGGGTGCGTCAGAGATAACCCACTCACCTCAATTCTGCTGGCAAAAGTACGCGTGGGAGACGGCAGCCGCTGCGCGCATTGCGCCATCTTGCTGATAATGTCGAAAACACCATAGCCCTCCTCTCCCTCTAGATGCCAGCCAACAGCCGTAAGTGGTACATATAGATAGCTTGCCCTTTGAACATAAGAGATGGTATCTTTCGGTAGCTCAGTAATAAGGAAAAAAATCTTTCGGTAGCTCAGTGGTTAACGCCTCGCGTTCACGACGCGGTGGTCCCACATTCGATTCCGCACGCGAGAGTCTTTTTTTCTGGATTTTTTTTCTTTCTTGCATTTTCATATATAGATACGTATACATATACGGTGCATGACGCCGACGCCGGCGGCGAAATCCAGCCGAGATTGTTCATTTAATTGTTATCGCAATAAAAATAAAACAAAGATTTAGTGACGTGGCGACCAAAACACAATTTCGCATTGCCCACCTGTGAGATTCATTCTACAATTGTATTCTCATGCGGGTACTTCTTTCTCAAATGAAGCTGCAATCTCACGCTTCATGTTAGCTTGAGCTCTCACAGTTGCTGAAACAATAAGCATGGTTCAAGAGCGGCTTTATACAACCGTCCTGGTTTTCTCTTCCATGACATTGGTGAGCGCTTTATTCGCACGCGGTGTTAGTAAGCGTAGGCCGGATATCAAAGAGGTAAACATTTTGCATCATGCCCTCCCAACTATTTTTTGGAATACCAAAAGTGCTGTATCATGTTCTCACCAAAGCATATTTCAATAATCTAGGCTTGTATGATGTGCAAAATAGGACAGACTGTTTTGAAGTGAAGAAACAATATATCGCTACAGTTGTCTAATTTCTTGGAACGTTCTTTCGACCACAATGTCAAATATCATAAAGGGGGAAGCCTTCTTGTTTTGTGAATGTCACTTTAATGTAGTTCTAACGCCCTGTCAATGATAAGGTAATATAGTAGTAATTATACTATGCCTCCAAGAAGCAATGTGGCTTTGCTACGAGGCAGTCACAGCGTATATATGAGCAGCAAACATCGACGCACTTCGAAAGCGAGTAATGTGTTGGATTAATATCCCCCACAATACGATCGTGTATTTTTGAATTGATGGTGATTTCATCTATGGTTGAAAGATTTACAACAAAATGATCGAGTAACTCAAAATCTACTGCAAAAAAGAAGAAACTACCCAGTAAGCCTTTTTATACACAATGGAGCGCGCTGTAACATTGCTCTAAACAAATTAAGGTTTCTTCAACTTCTCTATAGCAATATTTACAGTGATCTCAAAGTAGCCATAACCATTTCGTAACAAACATGATGTGCGAAAAGCGCAAATAACCTATCAAGAATCCTTGATGAGAAAAAAAATCATGCTATATAGGAGCTTGCAGGGAATTGATCGGGTGAAATTGTGAATTCTCCGTAAAAACTCTCTACCATCATGTAAAGACGTGAGACGTTGCTAAAGAGGTGATTGCACATACGCCTATATATACAAAAGATTTATTAATTTACACATCGATCCAGACATGTAAAAAGGTTACGTTACTGATTACAAATATGGGGAACGAGTTGTCCTTTCAGTATTGCAATATCGTGGTAAGTAAGGTATATAGCAAGCAGGTCATGAACTATAGGTTGCACTTAAATGTTGGAAAAGGTAATGCCAATACAAGTTCCGAGTAGAGGTTCTCCTGCCGCCGCTTGGGTGCCGCTTCTTCTTCGCGGGCCCTCACTTCAGGGTGCGCCTATTGACGAGACATCTTCTCCAGCTCAAAGTGCAAATAATGCCTGACAGATGGGTAGTGGGTTTTTCACTTACCAGCACAAGGACAAATGGCATAGGGGCATAGTGAGTGCCTCTCTGCTTCATGAAAGTTATGGTGCGCATTTAGTGGGGACATTGCACAGCCTCCAGTGCACACGCCAAGGAACATGACCCGAACATAAGAAGCTTGGCGGGCAAGCTCCTTAGACATACTCCGTCTCTATGCTTGTCCACAGATAACTGCTTGCCATAACAGCTGAAATTAGGGGAGATGGAGATGAAAGATAGGAATAGAATGACTCTTACATTCACGTTAACCCTTGAAGAATGACAAGTGTTGCAAACTTGTCTCCGATTTCTCACGACCGCATGCCTTCGTGCTTATTTGAATCTAAACATTCGAAGGATGTATACGGATGTCTGCCTGGTTGGGATGGTAAACTGAGAAACTATTTTAACTCCAATCAGCCAGAACGCTTCGGAAACGACTCGGTTCGTTCCTCAGGGGTAACTGTGGCGATGTTGCAGCGGCGTCTGCAAGGCACTTGCGGGATGGTTATAGATCCCCCCCCCTCCCGTTTTGCCGCATAGTGTATGTAGTTCATGTGGTTACACCGGCGAAGGGTTTTGAGAGAACAGTTGATGTTCTGGACCGTTCACTGTACATGCCACAACTCCAGCAGTAGCCTTCTCCTCCAGGTACATGATTTAACTTCGCGAAAAACGGTAAAACTGTTCTTTCCTCTCCTTTTTTTATTTTCATTTGTTTTTTTTGCGTAGTTATAATATGGCTGAGTACCGACTCACCCAACCTGTCATTGTTCTCCTCCAGGTGGTCTCGCTTTCAAGAATGGTCATTGCTTTGAAATTTATCTGGTGGTCAAACGTCTTGCAATGCAGTGCGACGCCACTGCGCTCTTTGTTCAGCTTCCGGGCGTCGTTGGCGTGTTGCTTGAGTCGTTCTGGTAGGTTTTCTGTCTTGCCGATATACGAAGAAGGGCACTAGGCCCACGGGATTCGGTAAACAACACCGGAAGTCCCGTCCGTTGTTGGTCGTTCCTTCGGGCGGGGGAGAAGGCAACTCAGCGGGAACGAAGGCACGCGCACGGCTGAGTATGCGCTATATTTACACAGCGCACTCGCTCGAAAGATTAGGAACGATGTACTCTCATTCTGTTGTATTGAAGAATGTATTCATAATGTGTTTCTTTTCCGGCTCTAAGCATAGATTTCTTCAAAAACAGCAGGTCTTATGTATGACATTTTTTTTAACTTCTTGCAGTTTCTGTGCACAAGAGAACGTATATGGACTTACAAAACGAACACAAGCGAGTATGTTCAATGTAAAGTGGACCGAGTGACCAGTATCAGTCAGACATCCATTATCTTCAGGCGGTATTACTTCCGTGATGAGCAACAGTAAGGTATCTCCACTACTCTCTAAAAAATTAACATCTTTACTTGCTAGCATTACTTACCATCATCATCATTAATTGCAAACCACTCTATGCTGGAACGATTAATAATGCTTCATCAACTAATTCTTGACAAAATAAGTATTACCCGTTCTAAGTACATCTCTATTGCAGACAGAAGAATAACTAGACTAAAACATTCATATACAATAAATGAACACCGCTTTTATTTCAATTATTTTAAACACTTCTTCCTCCCGTTATAGCCATAAGGCCGCGGAACAACTTACCTTCCACTACTACCAATACCTACTCTGTAACCACTTTTCATTCACTACTTAAAAAATACGTAGATGACACAAAAACATAAACTACGTTTCGCACCATCCATTAACTATTGATTTTACCCTTACTTCTATCCTCATGCCACTAACTACATTTGCAAAGTATGCGTTTTCGGTACTTTTTTGTTAAGCTTATGCACGTGTGACTGATTGTATGACCTAGTCGTACCTACATTGATATTTCATGATGCGTCTGTGTGTTAAAGTTAAATTTCACTGTTTTATATAGATCTTCTGCATATTTGAGTTTTTATAGATTAATACGTTGTCATTAGCAAAAGTGCTCTTGTTATTTTGCATGAACTATTCCTTTGACACTATTTAAAACTTTGTTATACTTACAAGTTGTGCCCTTCCTGCAATAATCCCTTAGGAATTGACAGGATGTACTAACTAAATAAGTAAATAAAGAAGTAAATAGATAAATGAATAAATAAACTTTATAACATCACACTTATAGCCACTGGACTAAAAAGAAACTCCAGGGAATATTTTCGGCGGAGCAATGCGACGTAATGCAAGTCCGAAACCTAGGTATGTAGAGGACGCTGCAGTTTTTTATGCAATTCTCAGATATCCGTGTGGCCACAGTGGGAGAATCGTAGACTGCAAACTATAGCTTTCTTTCAGTAGGTGCTTTAGTTGCTAATTTTGTTTTCTTTTTTTAAAGACCTAGTAACGTTTACTAGTTAACAACAACCATGCGTTAAATTTTTATTCACGCTCTGAGTTTCTTCAATATTTTGTGTTTTAAATGCAAAGCATTCTTAGCAAACTTCGGCGCCTTTGAGCGTATCTATCTATATATCTATCTATCTGGCCACTTACATGTGGGTGCTGTCGTGATCACCCCCTTAATTTGGCGTGAGTCAAAATTAGAATGGGAGGGTAAGATCGTTTGACGAATATGACACGCTGGTCAAGGCAAAAATATTGTCACAATCCCGTCGCGTACATCGTCAAAGACTTCCCTCCAGACAGTGACACATACCCAAGGGCGGATATGTACCGCTTGTATGCTGGTGTCACAAAACGAGAGCTCAAAAAGGGCGCGCCGCCAAATTCTCGCGACAAAGCGCCGGAGAGACGCCTCAAGGTCAACGATGAAAAAAAGAAAACAAGCATCCAAAGACTCCTCGGGCACGCGTCTCTCTCCCTCGAAAGCGTAGGTTCGCCGACGAACCTCCTCACTTCAGCGGCCGAGCAAGCCCTAGAAAGTTCTCGATGGAAAGGGGCGTGGTGATGCAGGGTTGCGTCATCTTTCGCGGACGGCCCTCGTACCACCTCGCGCTTTCCCCAGCCTTCGCTGCGTATCGCGCCGACGAAATAATTCTGGAATCTCGCGCCGAAGGTATTTAATCGAGCAGCAGAGATGGGAGATCAGGAGAAGAAGTAAGTTAGCGCCTGTGTACGTGGGGTTATTCCACCGCGTCTGTCGGGGAAGGTTTTGTCCTTAGTGACAAAGCAGGAGAAGACGAAAGTATGCGCCAGAGTGCGTAGGGTGTTCCGCCTTGTGGGCGAAGCCTTTTGTCTTTCGTGACAAAGGAGGAGAAGAAGAGGATTTCCACCTGAGGGGTGAATACTCGAGCTACAGGCAAGAGTGTGTGTCTACCGCTATCGAGCGAAGACGCGTGGCAACAGCTGCGTGTGTGAAACCGACGTGTTTCCGGCGAAGAAGTTCGGAGCCTGGAGAGCGGCCAATTGAAGAAGTGAGGTTTCCTAGAAGAGAAACTTCGGGGGCTGCGGAACGGCAACAACGCTCGACTTTGAGCGATTCTCGGAAGAGTATCATCCAGACTTTTGTTCCAAGAACTGTAGACTGAATAAGTTTTCTAACTCTTTAGTCTTTAAGTGTCCTGGCTTTTCAATGCATGCGACTGCATTGTAGTGCGTATTGTTGTCTGTGTCCGTTGTTTCGAGTGTGGCTGATTGTACAGCGTAGTACGTTGTTTGATTGGTGACATATTGTATTCAACTACTGTTGAGTGTGCATACTTGTGTATCGTTTTGATCTGCCATAATTGAGAATATAATTTTGTTTTGTTCATCAACTCTCGGCTCTCACTTGTTCTTTGGGCCACAGCCGGCGTCCGCTAGCGCGCCAAATAGGACCACTTCTAAATTGTCCACGCTTTCGTGGTGCGGTTTGGGGGGCCGATACTTCGGCCCTTGGAATTAGCCCGGCAATCGCTTCCCTAATTAACGGGACCCGTGACAGCTAGAATGTGCCACAGGTGATTGACAATTAGTATCTACCACGGAACGATCAGAACACACATGGGCAGTTCTAACGCGCGAGCGTTATGAAATACCCGACGTCGGTAGCGTCGACCTGGCGAATGCGAATAATATAGGTCAGGGTCCCAGCTGGAATCGAACCCAAGCATTCTGCATGGCAATGAAGAGTTTTACCACAGAGCTACGTCAGGTCTCGGCACTGCTTTTGAAATAGACAATAATATTTGTGAAACTTCAATCGTAGTTTCAGTTCTGCCTACCCAATTTTATGAACATTACATATGTACTCTATCGATACGGCCGTAGTGTCAGATTAACGTCAACTGTGGTTAGTTGCTATGCGCTGAAGCTTATTTATGTAGCAGTGTCTTGTGCCAGCATGTTCGCGAGCATCAGCGCTTCATAACAGCTTCTGGCGTTTCTCTAATACACATGTTCCAGTTGGCAACGTTGCGCAAGTGCAAACAAGTGGTTATATAAGCATCTGCAACTCTTTAACATATGTCTGTGCGTACAACATTTGCACGCATATTTAGCGTAATTTTTGAACGTGTCGCTCAATCAAAAAATTGCAACACAGTCACCTTCCCTCCGCGTGCTTCACATAACGTCAATTCACAGATGCGGTACATGGAATCTGCCGTATTTTTCACGTAGCGAGATAAAACACCGTTATCGTCTGCAGTGCTTACAATAAATGCAGCAAGAGCTACGTGCAAAAGCGATCCTTTATTGTGCGGCCACCTTATTTTCCACGTTTAGGTGAACTACAAATCACGCTTCTGCAGTTTAAAACTGTAAGTATCCTTCACTATTGAATATGAATATCTTGAGAAAACAATGTTACCTAGGCGAGGTGAAGGTAATCGGACGAAAAAAGGCGTACTGATTATCTGGACTTTGAAGAACATTGCATCAATCAGGCTTAGGAAGTTTAAAACTGCAGGTACCGTACTTTTGTAGATATTTTGCGCAAGTAATATGACGTGGTCGTGACGGTGAAGAAGGTGGTACTCAGAATATTGAAAACGTAACGTTTTTTCGGGGCAAGCTTGTGCGCACGACAGGAAATGTCAAATGAATACACGGTGTACGTTGATAGCGGCGAAAATGGCGTCGGTTGTCACAGGCTGTTGGTAATGGGACCGGTGGCAAGTAATGACAGCATTTATTCGAGCCTTATCACTCGAGACTACGTTTGTTTCAGAATGAACGTCACTGTTCGTACTTGCAGACTAATGCATATCAGAAGGTTCCAAATAATATTGAAGGTTCTTGGTCATTCAGGTGTGGCATGTGCAAGGCAGTAGTTATGCGTGTATGCACCAAAAAAGCGTGCGTGGCAGTAATTTGTGTCTTCACTAACAAACATAGTTGATTCAATGTTTCATTTCCTGGGTCTTAGCACACTGATACACTCGTTAACAGCTGCACTAATTGCAAAAGATTTACGTACTATTCTTCAGACAATTTTGTGAAACATGCGTGTATTGTCTTCTTTAAGAAAAAGGATTGCCAAAACACCGGGGCACAGGAGGGTTCATATAATATTTCATTTACAACTTATAGCTCCATGCAATGACTAGCTGCCTGTGATAGGGGTTTGGTGCTATTGTATGTCGGACAGTACTCGTACCACCGAGCAAATTTTCGCAGACATGTCGCTGTACAATACGAATGCAAATAATCTCACTTTTAAACATGGATGCTTCCCTAGGCTAAATTTTTACAGTTACTGTGTTGACTCCCCTAGAATTTATAAGCAGGGAAAATGCTTCAAAAACTATGTTTAGCCAGCGCCACTGAGTCCGACATATACGTATTGCTCAGTATATAGGGAGTCACTGCGACATGATACGTCGATGTATGTCAAACTGGCCGAGCCCCTGCTTACCAAATGGAAACACTTCATCATACGGAACGTTGCTATGGCACCAGAGTTGTGGCGCTCCTCTGCTGCCTCCGGAATGCGCCTCTGTGATATCTCAACTTAAGAAGACTGTGAAATTCCTGAAAACTACAAGAGTATCAGTGAAATGAGTGGAAAGTTCGGTTCCAGACCATCTTTCGCCCCACCGAAAAAAGTAGCGCTGAACAATATTTCTGCCAGTCACGGGTTGGAAGAAGAGCACCCACGCTTCATGGCTGAAAGCAGACTAAAGAGGACGAAAATCTTTAGCGGGAAGAAGCATCATGTAAAAAAAATGAATGAAGTTGGGTAATAAAAATAACTAGCAGTTGCTTGCCTCAGACAAGCAGGGTTGCCTTGTTATTTTACTTCAGGGGGTACTTCAGGAAAATTCAATGACTGCACTTCAGAAAAATTTTGTTAGTATTGACAAAAAAAAGCAAGCAAAGTTCAGGACGATGCTCTCGCCTTACTCTTGAACCACAGTCTTGAAAAGCTCATTCCTACAATAAAACTCTCTAACAATTGTATCTTGAGCTGTTTTTTGAAAATAAAACACATAAGCCAGCTGCTCCGTTTAGGTCTATTGTGCCGGAAAAAGATTTATGGCAATTTTGACGCTACTAGATTTTTTTTCAAAATCAACCTATTAGCTTGAAGGTATTAGATCCTGTTTGTGTACCAAGTTCCGATAATTTCGTCACCTTCTTACCAACTCCAAACTATGGTAATAGCATTATTTTATCATTGATGACCAGGACAGGTGTTATCACATTGGGCATTGTGTCTAATGTGAACTGTAGCAAAGTGAATTGATAATCATAGTGACCAAATAGAATTTATTAATAAATGTGGCCTATGAGGAGTAACGTTCTCATCTTCCTACATATGTAGGAGCAAAAAAATTCTTATATATGAACATGGGAACTGTAATATTTTGCAATCGCATTGGTCAGTTGGCCAGGGAAATGATAAAAGTTTCCATGTCACTGAAAAAAAGTCATTGGATCGTATCGGTAGCTCTGAGCAATCGTGAAATGTCCTCTTTAGTGAATCACCGAAAAGTCATAAATGTAATGTCTATGCCACACGTCGTACCTATATGTAGGTTTACTAAGCGCGTTTTTTTTATTTACCTATTGTAGTTTCAAGTGCAATGGTTCGCCTGCCCTCTCATTTTTTTTCTGCCTTCTCTTTGTGCATTGCTTCATACGTAAACATACACAGTTCTATCCCCCATAGGTAAATGTTCTGCCATATTGAATTATGAAAACTAGTATTCCTGTAAATTTAGGTAGAGTTTGTGACCTTATTGAATACGACGTAATTTTGCAGATAATATTTTTCTCTCCAAGGAGAAATTGCTTTACATGACAAGAAAATATGGCTGCGCTGTAATGATGGTCACGCAAGCACAACATGGTGAGTGACGCATGCTACTCTACGAAAAACATGTGCCAACGTTTTTCTCTTTTTTACGAACACAATGGCAGGAGCTATTTTCACGAATCGAGCATGTGGTGCCTTTGGAGAGGGTTTTTTTTTTTTGTGGAAGGTTATTACAATTTACAATGCGCCGCACTATTCTGGCGGCCTTTATGAAAAGTACCTTACGTTTCTATGGCCTCACGACGTCACGTGACATATGCAAGTATGCTGCAATAACTATCTGCACCTCACATAATACAAGTATATAAATCCCAGTTTTAAGGTTCAGTGTTCGGTTTAGCTCCGTGATTTGTTTTACGGTGGCAATGATGATCACCATTTTCGTTTCTCTTTGCAGGTCGAGAGCCGTACTATGAGTTGCGTGTTTGGGAATCATTCTTGAAGCAACGCCCTAATGTGAAATGTGTGAGAGAGTTTCAGAAGCATACACATAAGGGGAAAACTATACGAACCGTTTTGCAACCACATCCTTCTCATTAGGTGAATTGCACAATACGCATCTTAAAGCTGAGAACTGCCCTTTAAATAAGTGTCATCTCGCTTATTGTGAAAAAAGGACACATTGCAATTTCAATTCTTTCTCAAATAACAAGTGGTGTTTTCCTAAAAAATAAGCTATAATGCGCTTAGTACCGATATGCTTTTGCTCTTTAAAAATAATATTACATGCATCAACACAATAACATTACAAGCCATCACGTTGGCTTCAACACTACCATGTTTTCAAGTATTGCGTTTTCTTTTTTTAATAAAACACATACAGCAGCATAAATTCTTGCAAAGCTTCAGAACAACATAAAAATCCTTGGGAGAAATAAATACGGAACTGAGCAAAAAATGGACGTCGTTTTTCGAAGTGCGTTGCTTTGTTCCTGGAACGCCGTATTAGGGAAGAACGTCACCTACAGGCATTACGTCATTGCCCCACTTTCATCTACCTCTTTTTTATTGCTATGAGAGTGAGCACGCAGCCCAATTTACATCCACAAAAGATTCCCTGAACCACGTACGGTCTTCATCCAGGAAATATCAAGCAATGCCTATCATCCAGGACCTACCAGTGTGGTAGGGCCTGGTAAGGAGGTTTGGATCCTCCTTTGCTTTACCCTGCGGGCAAACCATGTATACGTGTTATGCCAGTACTGCACCCCCTAAAACTTCTGGTTTAGCTTAGTTTGGTTTTAGAGCAGCAGCAGTTAACACCCTCGAGAGGCAAAAAAGCAAGAAAAGTGCGGATTCATTTTGAGATTACACACAAGATGAAAGACACAGAAGGCACAACAAGACAAACACTTTTTTCTTTTCTTTTATCATTCTTAATACGTTTTGGCATTCGACGACGCAACCATCTCACGGAACAGGCAAACGGCAATGAGCGAGATCCGAATTACCAGATTAGTTAAGTGGATATTACTAGGCATAAGAGAGCCCGATGAACAAATAACAAAGTGCAGAGAAAGGGCCGCTCGAGCTTCCTTTCTGTGCATCGTTCTTGCTTTCCTTCGAAATGAATCTACACGAACTAGTACAACTCTCTCTTTTCCTCAAAAAGCACGGATGCTTCTTCAAAAAACACAAACAGACGGCGCGTAGCCGCACGGAGACGATCGACAGTATAGATAAAAGGCCCCATGCATCCGACATGCAAAACACAATGTACCATTGTTTACCTGCAAGCCTTTTACCACAACTGTATGGGTAAAATGCATCCTATTTCAGTACGCCAACCTAGTTTTCTAGAGGGAGGCGCCAGCCAGTGGCTTATGTGTTTTTATGAGCTCAAATACGCATGGCTGAAAAACAGCTTTGTTTAAGCTTCCTCGTTTTAGTGTTGGTGGCATTGGAGACTGGCTTACTTGCATGCGGAATAGGCAAATGCTGGAAACAGGATATTAGACGGGTAAACTTTTCATATCCTTCTTTTTTTTTGTGTGTGTGCCATCTGTTCTACACGTACTTTTTTTAATGTTGTTCTAGTTTGTTTTCGTGTAAATAAATCTCGATAAATATAACAAAGTTAGGAACGGGGTAGCAGAAACTTCTTTGAAAGTGATGACAATACGTATTTCGCACCACGCTTGTTGCAGAAGACGCTGCTGTTGAGATTAATTTATTATATAAAGTACCTCTTTTAACGAGCAACCTGAAGCAAAGTTGCGTTGTCAACGTCGATCTAAATTTGGCAGCGATTTCATGCCAATTGTCCCTATAAGTGCTGCAGTCTATCCTTCAACTATCACGAAGAAATTATATAACGAACGAGATGCTTCCGAGACAAACACCATTTTTGTGAATTGCGGTGCTCCCCAACGTCGATTAAGTTTTTTTTTTTTACTAGCGTGCTTATTATCTACAGCTCAAGCACTCGAAATGAAATGTGTAAAGAAACATATAAACTGCTTTTTACTTATTTGGAGGGGCACAAGACATCACCCGCAATGCCTTCGTCATGTAAAGTAGGATATCTAGCTTATCCATAAAGGCATTTATTCCCCAAGAAGAAATATTTTATTGCATGCTGGTCAAATTTAATAAAATTGATACCCAAAGTAATAAGTGACGTTCCACTGTGTCAACGAGAGTTACCTTTTTGGATGAGTGGCATTTCCGTTTTGTGCACACCAATGACAATATTCGTATGAATTGTTATCAATGCTGAAGCGCTTGTGGGCATTATGCAGTGAGCTCTTTATGGTACAAACGTCGGTCTAGCGAATATTTCGGAATAACAAACTTTTATAGAATATTTGCGGTGATTCTCCCATGTATTCTATGCAGAAATGTTTGAGTTAAAATAAAATGTTTAACAGGTATATTTCAGATAAGCGAACTTGATCTGCCGACCCTGGCCTGCTTCTTAGGCCAAATCAATGAAGTTTAGCGCTCTTCAGCCCTGGTGCAGTCTATATGTGCATGCCCCAATTCACCCGTACATCGGTGGCAGTGCAACACCGCTTGTGCAGCAGTGCCACCGTATTAATGTGGCCGTGCGGGAGACGAAAACGAACCACCGATTCAGTACGTCCCCAGAATTCCTGTATTTAAAATTCTTTGCAATGTAGCAGGAAAAACAGCCACAGATTTGCCGTAAAGGCGTAGCAATGAACGCCAAAGCAACAAATTGGAAGGTCACGCGCCGAATGGCAAGGAGATCAAAACGTGCCCTGCGTTTCTCACGCACAAATGACGCACTAAAGGTACTCCCCGGTACATATTATTGCGAATAAGCGTTTCAGTTGTTACTCAACTCTGAAAAGCACGCCCTTTCCACAAACGGAGACTGTGCAACGGTTGAAGTGGCCTTTGTGCGCCCGGTAACTACAACAACATCGTTCCAAGAAAAGCCCGACGCCTGCCAAGACGTGCGATCCTTCCCACCGTGAGCTAAGCGCGCGCGAGTGAGCGTCGTCTCCCTCCTCTGCCGGGGCAAAGTACGTGTGAGAGATGAGAGCACGCACCACCCCGTCGCGATTAGTCGTGATGAAATGGCGACGCGCGCTCATTGCACCATCTTGCTGGAAATGCTGCAAACACGATAGCCCCCCCCCCCCATAATGCCCGTCAACAGTGGTAAGTGGTAGATTTAATAGCTTGCTGTTTGAACGTTAAAGGAGGTGCTCCTTGCTAGCTCAGTGGTTAGCGCCTCGTATCCGCAACCCAGAGGTCCCAGCTTCGATTCCGTATGCTGGAGTCTTTTTCTAGATTATTTTTCTTTCTTCCGTTTACATATATATAGGTACGTGTACATATACTATGAGTGACGCCGACGCCGGCGGCACAATCCAGCCGAGAGTGTCCATATAAGTGAGTAAAAAGATGACGTCGACCAAGAGGGTGTCAAAAATATAATAAAAAGGCGTATCAGTTTCAACAAAGAAGTCTTGTTCACTAAGCTGGAATACCGAAGCCTCCAGCTTGAATCCGTCATAATAATCGCCTGAGGCTTGCATATGTAAGAGGTAGATTGCCGACGTTGTAGTTGAGCGTGTTTCTTGTTGTATGGATAGTCAAAGATTTCAGGTAGTGCCGTTTAATCCAGTTATCTTCCCTGGCGACACCTGGAGCTTCATCCCAGTCGAGGCCGTGGTGCATTCTTTCTGCGTGTGCTATAAGGCACTAGGAATGAGTTTTTTTTTCTTTTTTTTGACGTCATTTAGGTGCTCTTTTAGACGTCGCCTGGAAATTTCGGCTTTCATCAACGTAGACCGAAGTGCAGTTAGCACAATGACTATTACATACAACGCCAAGAAATGTTTCTTTTTTTAGTTTTTCCTTGACGCTTGCAAGCTCGTGAGATAGCCTATGGCACGGAATATGGGTGATTTGCACAATATATTCAAGCAGGACACGTGCCAGTTTTCGCTGATGCTGGCAAAGTACGGAATGGAGGCGCGACGTTGGTTGGGGGAATCACGTGGCTCAGTCGGGCGCACTGTTTTTTAGGTGATGGTAGATCACTTATGTGGGAGTTCACTTAATTTACTTATTATGGCGGAAGTCTTATACGCTCATCGACCGCGGGAATTTATCGGCGTTCCTCGGAAGAGTCGCCAGTCAGCAGCGTATACGCTGGAGATGTAAAAGAGCATCATCATGCACTTTCAGTTGACTACCATGCACATCCCTCACCCCATGAGCGCTTCTTTGACAACATGCCACTCAGTTAAGCCCCCTCACCTATCGCATTTGCGGTACGTTACTGGACTCGACTTAGTTGCACGTTGAACTGCTTATGTGGTAGGTTAGTGGGTTCAATTCTTGAGATGACCAAACCATCAGATGATCAAACAAAATGAAGGGAGGGCTTAAGAAACTATTCATCATAATAACTTGTTGTTATTCGGATGATTATCTGATCAGTTTGCAGGATCAATGACAAGTGTTTGATAGTCTTCTCATGCATGTCTTAGTATCTTTTCATGAGTGCCTCTGCCCGATTGGCCTGACTTACGAGATGCCGAAGGAGGACAGCATCTCGCATGCAGTGCACCACTCAGGATGACGTTACGAGCCCCCTTCACAGTATGGATATCCTTCCTTCTTCGTGGGCCTTTAGCAAGTTATTAAATATAGCTATTACAACGTCATCGTCGTCTAACCATTTAAAGTCGTCCTACCCACACATTTCGCAAGCTGCTCTCCTGATACACTCGAAATGCCGTAAAAGAGAAATGTACCCGCATCTTTTGCTCAATTCGGTGGCTGAGGCAATGCACCGAAAATGTCAACGTAAGGGCAATGACGGCGACGATGCAAGATCGATTGCTCATAAAGCGAGACAACTAGTGGTCATACCATATATTCACTCTGTAATCCCGTTGCCTCAAGAAAATAGGACAATGTATGTAATGTATCAACAAGGCCATGGTAGGAGAAGCCGACGAAGAACAGGTGAGCGTTCATCGCGTCTCTGTGCTCCATCACACGTAATAATGTCAATTTTTTTCAATATCCCCACAAGTTGTATGAAGATGGCAATAAAAACTGTCCCGTAAAGAGACGAGGAAAACAATGCGTGCTCAAACACAGAACTCTGTTTGCTGACTGTGTGCGAGGCGCAGTGTTTATACAGTATTTCCTGTCTCGCTGGGAGGATTAGGTAGGCAAGCCGGGCAAATACCTCAACGACCACCTACATGAAGGCTTCGATAACATTCGTAATGGCAATGAATGCGTCCCGGCATTGCACGTGAGCACGTGGGGATGCCGTCCACAGTTTCAAAGGACCGCAGCTGGGTTAAGACAAAGTATGAGCAAGCGCGCATATTCAGTAAGGCTACATGCTCAGCTGGTGCGAGATAGCAGTGGATGTGTAAGAAAACTAT